TCAGTTGGGAGAGCGTTAGACTGAAGATCTAAAGGTCCCTGGTTCGATCCCGGGTTTCGGCAAAAATTTTAGCGCCCCTGAGAGGATCGGTCCGGCTGCCTCGCAGCTATCCCGGACCGCTCCTCGGAACATCATCCTATTCTGCAGAGGAGTCAGGACGTGGACTCATCCCAAGGTAGAAGGGCTCAGACCTAACAACCCTAAAGCCAGCTCTTCCCACCCCCAAGAGGTCATGATTTCAGCCCAAACTTCCCCCTTCCCTGACAAACCCTCGATTTTTCCATCTTGCTTAAATTGCTAAGTTTACAGCCCATACTAATTACATAAAAACTAACACTAAATGCCCAAACTAGCAAAACAGAGTTTGCAGAACGCTTTCTGCATGCATATCATCAAATTTTCGTAATTCCACTGGAGGTTTTTTTCTGCCGGTTTTATGATTACGAAAACAGAGGCGAAGGCCAGCGCGGTGGTTCACCCCTGTAATCCCAGCACTTTAGAAGGCCGAGGCAGGCAAATCACCTGAGGTCAGGAGTTCGAGACCAACCTGGCCCATATGGTGAAACCCCATATCTAAATCCCAGCTACTCGGGAGGCAGAGGTTGCAGTAAACTGAGATCATGCCACCATACTCCAGCCTAGGCGACAGAGCGAGACTCCATCTCAAAAAAAAAAAAAAAAAAAAAAACAACAACAACAAAAAAAAACGAAGGCCGGGCATGGTGGCTCAAGCCTGTAATCTCAGCACTTTGGGAGGCCGAGACGGGCGGATCACGAGGTCAAGAGATTGAGACCATCCTAGCTAACACAGTGAAACCCCGTCTCTACTAAAAAAAATACAAAAAACGAGCCAGGCGAGGTGGCGGGCGCCTGTAGTCCCAGCTACTCGGGAGGCTGAGGCAGGAGAATGGCATGAACCCGGGAGGCGGAGCTTGCAGTGAGCTGAGATCCGGCCACTGCGCTCCAGCCTGGGCCGCGACAGGGCGAGACTCCGTCTCAAAAAAAAAAAAAAAAAAGGAAAAAGAAAAGAAAACAAGAGGCACAAATTAGGTGAACACGGCTGAGAAGCAAAGCTGAGGGACCCTCGAGGACCACGGTAGGTGTTTTTTTTTTTTTTTTTTTTTTTTTGAGACGGAGTCTCGCTCTGTCGCCCAGGCTGGAGTGCAGTGGCGCTATCTCCACTCACTGCAAGCTCTGCCTCCCGGGTTCACACCATTCTCCTGCCTCAGCCTCCCGTGTAGCTGGAACTACAGGTGCCCGCCACCGTGCCCGGCTAGTTTTTTTTTTTTTGTATTTTTAGTAGAGACGGGGTTTCACCGTGTTAGCCAGGATGGTCTCGATCTCCTGACCTCGTGATCCGCCCGTCTCGGCCTCCCAAAGTGCTGGGATTACAGGCTTGAGCCACCGCGCCCAGCCAATTTCTGTATTTTTAATAGAGATAGGTTTTCACCATGTTGGCCAGGCTGGTCTGGATCTCCTGACCCCAGGTGATCCGCCCACCTCGACCTCCCAGAGTGCTGGGATTACAGGAGTGAGGCACCGCACCCAGCCATGGTTTTGGTTTTAAATTTATATACATATTTTTAGAATAGAGTTCTGAGTACCCCATGCCCAGTTCATGAGTGGGACACATCTGTCACATAATACATTATTACTGACCAAAATCTACACTCCATCCAAGTTACCTGGGTTTCCTCTAATGCCCTTTACTGGCCCAGGGCTCCCTCCAGGACCCCACGTGGCATCAGGTGTGGTTTCCTCAGCTCCTGGGACCCTGGCCGTTTCTCAGGCGTTATTTCTGACGCCCTGCAGGTCTGAGGCAGGACTTAATACTGCAGAACGTTGCTCATTAGAGATTTTGCTTGTGGGCCTTTTTTACAGGGTCAGGGACAGCAGAGTGCCTCCCCTGTCCCCGGCGTGCCATGTCGGGGTCATGTGTCCGCTGCCCTGGACTCCTCCCGGGAGGAACAGTGAAGCCAGCTCAAGGGTTTCTGGCGGCTCTTAGTCCTAGTGCTGGTGGTGGGGGATGGGGTGGAGACTGCAGCTGAGCCTAGTAGGGGCCCGGGGGATGGTCCTCGGGCCACTGGGATGACAGGGCCCCTGGGCTTGTGTGTGCTGTTCAGCCTCTTGCCTTCCTACAGGGTCTTTTTTTTTGAGACTGAGTCTCGCTCTGTCCCCCAGGCTGGAGTGCAATGGCACAATCTCGGCTCACTGCAACCTCTGCCTCCTGGGTTCAAGCGATTTTCCTGCTTCAGCCTCCTGAATAGCTGAGATTACAGGCATCCACCACCACACCCAGCTAATTTTTGAATTTTTAGTAGAGATGGGTTTTCACCACGTTGGCCAGGCTGGTTTCAAACTCCTGACCTCAGGTGATCCGCCCACCCCGGCCTCCCAGAGTGCTGGGATTACAGGCGTGAGCCACCAAACCCAGCCCCTACAGGGTCTTCATGTTCAGCCGGGGCTGCTCCGTGTGACCGACAGAATGGCGACGATACTCGTGTGCAGCTGCTGGGGACCCTGGGCCGCTGACTCAGAGGCGAGCTGGCCATTACAGAGGGCGGGCGCTCAGGAAGCTTGACCCACGTGGAGGAGAACCGCAGCCTCCTTCCCATGCCTTGCCCCGCGCGAGGCTCCTTGGACCCCCAGCCCCGTTGGAGCCTTCAGTTGATGTGGCCCCAGCCAGCATCTAGACCGCAGCCCCACAAGCCACCCCAACAACCCCTGGCCGGGCTGCTCTTAGATGCTTGTCCCACGGAAACCGTGTGGAGAACGTTCCAGCCGCTGGGTTTTGGGGGGGCATTCTGCTGCAAAGTGGGCTGATTGATAGGCTGACTGGATGGAAGGGCGAGGTAGGTGGGGAAGAGAGGAATCTGGTCCAGGAACTCCGGGCCCTGGAGGACACCCCTGAGACAGGGAACAGGGACGAGCTGGCTTCACCGGGCGGAGGCAGGATGTGAGCAGAGGGCAGGCAGCAGTTCCAGGAACAGCTTGGGCCAGCGAGAGGGGAAGGACCCAGGGCGGGGTCAGAGTGGCAATTGGGGAAGGTGAGAAGGGGGCATGAGGCTGGCACAGGGAGGGAGGCAGAGAGGCACGAGAACCCAGGCAGGCCAGCCTTGGTGGCTCTCGTCTATAATCCCAGCACCTTGGAGGCCGATGAGGGAGGATTACTTAGGCTGGGAAACACAGCAAGCCCCATTTCTACAAAAAGCACAAAAATTAGCCAGGCGTGGTGGTACACACCTGTGGTCCCAGCTTCTTGGGAGGCTTAAGTGGGAAGATCGCTTGAGCCGGGGAGGTCAAGGCTGCAGTGAACCACGTTCACACCACTGCACTCCAGCCTGGGCAACAGAGCCAGACCGTCTCCAACAAACAAAAAGCAAAACAGAAATGCCTCAGGCAGTGGGGTCCATGAGAGTGAGGTTTCTGTGGTTTGGAATTCTCGCTGCGTGCCTGTGTTGCCCCTTTTAAGATGGACAAAGTGCGCTGTGCGGCCACCAAGGTCTCCTTGTTGGAAGTGATCAGACAGGTGCGGCTGCTGCAGTGAGGGGGACCCCAATTCCCCTTGCACTGCTGGGAACCACTGAGACCAGCTTTGGAAAAAGCATTGGCAGGGACATGGGGGTCTCTGCGGCTCAGTGAAGGGGGCTGGGGAGTGTGGGCCAGGCGGCTGGGGGGCTGGCAGAAGCACGCACCCAGGCTCTGAGACACCAGCTGGGCCAAGTCAGAGGGAAGGGGCAGGGGTCAGGGGTCAGGGGAAGGACACCATGGTTTGTGGCCAGCAGTTTTCCATGGGGCACCAGGCCATGTCTGGGGACATCTGTGGTCAGCACGATGGTAGAGGCGGGAGCCCCTGGCATGGAACCGCTGAGCACCTAGCAGGACCCAGGACGCCCCACCCCAGGGACCCAGGTCCAATGTCCTCAGTGCCAGGGACAGGCCCAGGTGGGGTCGCAGTGTCGGCTAGCTGCCAGGAGAGGGGCAGAGCGTGCTCCTGAGGGCAGGGCTCCTGGAGTCTCCCTGCGTGTGTGCATGTGGTCAAGCCTGTCTTCCTGGGGCTCTGGAGGAAGTAGAGGCGCGCCAGCCATGCTGCGGGGAGGGCGAGCCCAGGACCACCCATGCTGGCATCCTTGGAGCCCTGGAATGCTCCTCCCTGGCCGTGCTTGTCAGGTCAGCACCCCCGACTCCCACCCAACTGCCCAGCTGACAACCCAGAGCACCCACAACCCACCATTACTGAGGGAAGCGCCTAGGCAGAGCCTGCCCCAGCGGCCTTGATGGCCTCAGAGCCCACAGGACAGTAAGGGCAGAGGGTGCCGGCGGGGTGGGATGCACTCGGGGACCTCTGGCATGTTCTGGTTCCACCTGCTGGGCAGGGCTTCGCGGCCAAGACAAGTGCTCACTGTCATTCAGGCTGGAGTGCAGTGGTGTGATCTCGGCTCACTGAAGCCTTGACCTCCAAACAAGTGATCTTCCCACCTAAGCCTCCCCAGCAGCTGGGGCCACAGGCACGAACCCCAGTGAGGCCCCTGGCTGCTGCTGCTGCTGATTTTTTTGAGACAGAGTCTCACTCTGTCGCCAGGCTGGAGTGCAGTGGCACAATCTTGGATCACTACAACCTCTGCCTCCCGGGTTCAAACAATTCTCCTGCCTCAACCTCCCGAGTAACTAGGACTACAGGCGCCCGCCACCATGCCCGACTAATTTTTGTATTTTTAGTAGAGATGAGGTTTTACCATGTTGGCTAGGCTGGTCTCGAACTTCTGACCTCAGGCAATCCGCCCGTCTCAGCATCCCAAAGTGCTGGGATTGCAGGCGTGAGCCACTGCGCCTGGCCTCTGGCTGCTGTTTAAACAGCACCCTAGGCCCGCCAGTGAGGTGGGAATCCACCCTGGGGCCAGGCCGTGTCCCTGAGGATGGCAGAGTCACTCCCCCATTTCCAAGCTTGGACAACCCACACAGTGGGACGTGTTTGGGGGTTCAGAAAAGACAAGCCAGAGGTCTGGGAGGTGTTTAATTCCACCTCAAACAACTTGGCAAGGTCAGCAGAGAAACAAATGGATAAAACTACTTCACAACAGCAGAAAAATTCCAGCAGGGGGAGGCGTGGTTCCCACAAAACCATGGTGACATGTCCTACCCTCAGGAACCCACCATGGAGGGCGGCTGGGGGGATTTTCCACGAGACAGCACGAGGCCCATACACGCAATGCTGCTGAGCCCCTCCTCAGGCGGTGGTACTGGCTGCTTCTTGTCCCTGAAAGAGCGACCAGCAGGGGGCCAGGGCCAACGCCCCTGACCCCCGCCTCCTCAGAGGTCTGCCCCACTGCTCCCGACAAGACAGACCCCAGCGTGCGGGCATAGGAGGCAGAGCTGCCAGGCCAGGGCCGGATTTCCTGCTCTCGGATTTGAGCAGAATCAGGTGAAACAAAATCCAGTGAACACCGAGTCCCAGAGCAGCCGCCCCTTCTGGCACTTCCCGAGTCCCAAGGACCCAATACGAGAGTCCTTGAGGCTTCGTCCTGCTCAGCGCCCTGCACCCCGAGACAATCGTGTTCTGATCTCCTCTCCGGTGGCTGTGGTCAGCTGGTGAGGGCCTGGGGGAAGAGGGTCATGGCCCCTCAAAGTAAGGCCTCCAGCCAGGGCCAGATGCAGCCCACCTAGTGGGGAGAAAGCAGCCCCCAGGCCACCGGGCCCTGGAACCCTGGGAAGTTCACCAGCACTGCCGTCCAGGCGCAGCCGGGAGAGCATCGGCTGAGAATGGACCCTTCATCGTCTGTGGCTTTGCTCTTAACAGCACATGGGACCCTGCTGGAGCCTGGCTGAGCCCCACCGAGTCACAGCCTTCAACAACCTGCAGACCCGGCACCGCCCGGCACTATGCTGTGGACCAGAGCCGACCTAGCAGCCACAGCCTGGAAGCCGTTTCTCCAGACAGGAGCGCAGTTGGGCTTCCATACAAAGGCTGCACTTCCGCGATGGTGGGGCACAGGACAAGGCCTTCTTCTCACTCGACCCCAGGGCTCCCACAGTGACCCTGACTGCTGCGGCCAGCACAGCCATCCAGGCCGATGACCACGGTGACTGGCCATGCGGTGACGACACAACGCAGGAAAACTCACTCAGGCCAGGCGGACGGGCGGGGGAGGTGGAGGTGGTCCAGCCCACAGCAGCCAGGGCATGTGGCTGTGCGCTGTGGTCCACTCACCCACAGTGCGGAGCACAGAGGCCCCTGGAAAGGTGCGTGTCCCGCTCCTCTCCCTGCAGCCACAGCAAACACGACACAGAGCAGCGGCTCGTCTCAGCTCCCGCCTCTAACGAAGGCTGTTTCCTCACAGCTGCAAAGCACACTGAGTGGCAGAGCAAATTCTGGAACTGTCGCAGGCAGAAACCACACGAGGGGGAAACAGACAAAACGACAAACCCGGAAGAACTATTCCCGCTTCCGAAGCTCCATCATCACGGCAGATGCTTAAAACCTCCCGTTTAATATCAGATGCCACAGACAAGATCAATGTGTACGTCGGGAGAAACCATAGCACAGTCACGAGTACTGATGCACAGTGAACACGCTTCTGTCCTTTCAAAAGCCTTTCCGGAACGGTGTCTTGAAAAAAATGCCAAAAATAAAATGAAAAAAAATTGCCAGGGAAAGAGAACTGGCTTTCAATGTTAACAAAATGGGTTCTCCAGAAGTATGGAAATCAGGACAGCCATGCAGAATGCACAGACAGGCCCAAACGCAAATGTGCCCCTGAGCCCCCCATCTTCAGACACGCTCATGCATACTGGAGGCGCTCCCACCGCCAGCCCCGCTGACAGCACAGCTGGCCGCTCCATCACCAACGGCGCCGTTTCCGCTCTTCAAGGAGCTGGTTGTCAAATATTTCTTTTTCCCTTCAGAAAACAAGAGTCTTCATTTTAGTAATTCATCATTGTGTGTTAAAGAATATGAGAGGGCTGGGTGTGGTCACTCTCCTATCATCCCAGCACTTTGGGAGGCCGAGGCAGGTGGATCACGAGGTCAGGAGTTTGAGACCATTCTGGCTAACACTGTGAAACCCCGTCTCTACTAAAAATACCAAAAACAAAACAAAACAAAACAAAAAACCGGGCGTGGTGGTGCAGTCTGTAATCCCAGCTACTTAGGAGGCTGAGGCAGGAGAGTCGCTTGAACCCGGGAGGCGGAGGTTGCAGTGAGCCAAGATCACACCATTGTACTCCAGCCTGGGTGACAGAGCAAGACTCCATCTCAAAAAAAGAGAAAAAAAAAAAAGAACATGACAGAGAGGCTGGGCGCAGTGGCTCATGCCTGTAATCCCAGCACTTTGGGAGGCCAAGGCGGGTGGATCACAAGGTCAGGAGTTCAAGACCAGCCTGGCCTAGATGGTGAAATGCTGCCTCTACTAAAAATACAAAAATTAGCCGGTCGTGGTGGCAGGCACCTGTAATCCCAGCCACTCCGGAGGCTGTGTCAGGACAACCACTTGAACCCAGGGGTTGGGGGTTGCAGAGGTTGCAGTGAGCTGAGATCACACCACTGCACTCCAGCCTGGGTGACAGAGCAAGACTTCGTCTCAAAAAAAAAAAAAGAAATATATGTGTGTGTGTGTGTGTGGGTGTCTGTATGTATATACACATGAGAGGGCAGTTGTTTGATGGGGACAGAGCTGCAGTTTGGAAGGATGAAGTTCTGAGATGAGCAGTGCTGCCGGCTACACAGCAGTATGAATGTACTCACCGCCATCGAACCGGACACTGAAAAAGGGAAGGACGGTAACTTTTATGCTATGTGTAATTTTTTTTTTTTGAGACGGAGCGTCGCTCTATTGCCAGGCTGGAATGCGGCAGCACAATCTTGGCTCACTGCAACCTCCACCTCCCTGGTTCAAGTGATTCCCCTGCCTCAGCATCCCGAGTAGCTGGGACTGACTACATGTGCCGCACCACCATGCCTGGCTTTTTTTTTTTTTTTTCCAGTAGAGACAGGGATTCGCCATGTTGGCCAGTATGGTCTCGGACTCCTGACCTCATGATCCACCCGCCTCAGCCTCCCAGAGTGCTGGGATTATGGGCATGAGCAACCACACCTGGCCTTAACAATGTTTTAAAATAATATTTATTTTTAGAGACAGGGTGTTGCTCCGTCACCCAGGCTAGGATGCAGTGGCATGACGGCTCGCTGCAGCCTCAAACTCCTGGGCTCAAGGGATCCTCCCACCTTAGCCTCTCAAAGTGCTGGGATTACAGACATGAGCCACTGTGACTGGCTAAAAATAATTTTTTACGAAAGAGTATGAGATGCCAAATTGTCCTTACTAAATGACCTCCCTGTAAAGGAAAATTATAACAATTGCTTAGCTAGCAACCCCTCCCAGGAACAGGGCTGCCCCGGATCAAAAGAGATCAACAAGGGCTGCTGGCTCTGACGTGTGCCCCAGCAGACCTGGAAACAGGGGAGAGCACGCCAGCGGCAGTGCCGAGAAAGGCAGGTGTGAGGACAGCCTTGGGAAGAGTGCAGAGCGGCTCATGGTGCAACTCTAAAAGGACAAGAGAGCCTGGGAAACGCCGTGCAGGGGGCGGGGACTGGGTCCCAGGACACCCAGTGTGTGACCCAAGCCTCCACTGAGGCCAAAGGTCAAATGCGATGCTGCTCACTGGCCTTACTTTGACCACGTCCCCGGCACGATAAAATCACGGCCTGTGTATTCAACCCAACCAACTTCGCCATCACAGCACCTGCACCGTTTCTCGCAGTTGGCTGGAGGTTTTGATGGTAACTAGAAGCCGTGATGAACTCCTAATGGGTACTGATGTCGGCAACCCAGACTCAGAAAAAAAAATCAGGAGGATGGAAGATTTCCACAGATGGGAGTGGAGCGGTGAAGAGGCTTCTGAGACGGAGGCAGAGGACAAACCCGGAGGCTGAGTCCAGGTGTGCTGGCTCTGACCTTACTTCCCCGGACCTCACTGATTCTTACGGCAAGCTTGACGAGGGGACCATGAAGATCCAGCAGGAAAACAGCCCGTGTCTGCATCCAAAGACCTTTCCCGTTTTGGTAAAGCCAGCTGGACCAACACTCCCTAAACAAGGCCAAATTCCACCTTTGGGCAGCTCTGCGGGGCTGGCCTGCCAAAGCCACCGAGGTCCCACACCTCCTCCTCCCTGACCTCTCCAGCAGCCCCTCCTGCCCTGCCCAGGGAGGACATGGGGCTGGTGAGGGAGTTCAGCATCTTCACCACGAGTCTCCTGTGACTGTGGGACCGGGAGACGTCGGTGGCTGCGCAAGTCGCCCTGGCCAGAGACCCTGTCCTTGACTCTAGTTGAGTCTTCAGCCTGTCACTGCCCCGTGGGCCCCGCCTGGCTCCCAGCAAGGCCTGGCCGCATGCCCAGAGACAGGATTAGGCGCTCTGGGGGCTAAACATCCAAGGGCAGCTAAGCACACGGATGTGAGAGAAACATCTTGATCACAGCATTCTTCTGGCTGCTGGAAAGCACCGGGCCCTGCTGCTGCTTAATCTCGCCGTACTTCTCACACAGCCATGGGGCTGCGGAAAGAGGGGAGGAAAGTTCAAAAAGCAAACATCAACCCTTGCAAAAAGAGATTAAGAACAGACGTGGCCCAGGCACGCGCCCGTGGCACCGTGCTGCCCACAGCGACCAGCTGGGGAGACCCGGGCCCAGTCTTCCTGGAGGGCAGGAGTGATCCGCAGGGCGGGTTCAGCATGTGTAATCAGCTCACCGCCCAGCACCTGGACCACCTCGTGAGGGGGAGGGGCTGTGGCACCTGGAGCCAAACTGCCTGTAGAAACACAACCTGCAAGGCAGAGATGCTAGTGGCTGGAGAGAGCGCCGGGAGCAGCCTACCGGTAGCTCAGCGAAGGCCCCTTGATGTACTTCTCCTCGGCCGTCTTGTAGTCCACCTCGTCCACTGCAGAGATCGCACAGATGATAGCCTGTGAGAGGGCACGAGGCTCAGCAGCAGCCGGCACTGCCCAACCGGCCCCATGTGGCCCGCAGCTGAGAAGGCCTCAGGAAGCCCAAGTCACCAGGTTCCGCCCTCCAGACAAGGTCTGGCTCATGATTCAGAAGGTACGAACCTAGTCCATGAACCCCTGCTTGTAATGATGTTTCTTAATTAAATCAGTGTTATCTTTTGGACTAGAAACAATAGCTCAGATCACTAAAAGCACAGAATAAAAGGCAAGACCCAAACTCACAAGTGCATTTCTGAAAAATTTTAAGTTTTTGTTGTTGTTGTTGTTTTTTCTGGGACAGTCTTGCCCTGTCACCCAGGTTGGAGTGCAGTGGCACAATCTCAGCTCACTGCAACCTCCGCCTCCCAGGTTCAAGTGATTCTCCTGCCTCAGCCTCCCGAGTAGCTGGGATTATAGGCACGTGCCACCACGCCCGGCTAATTTTTGTACTTTTAGTAGAAACGGGGTTTCACCATATTGGCCAGGCTGGTCTCAAGCTCCTGGCCTCATGATCCGCCTGCCTCGGCCTCCCAAAGTGCTGGAATTACAGACATGAGCCACCACGCCCGGCCTTAAGTTTATTGTCAAAAAAAAAAAAAAAGGAATATCCTGAATACACAATACATACCTGACACTAAGGAATCATCCCTATGTTTTAGTATTATGATTATGGTAAACACATTTTTAACAGAGTCCATTTGGTTCAGAGCAGAGTCTCTCCCACTCGGCCCTGTGGACATTGAGGCCAGACTGTTCTCTGGGGTGGGGCCGTCCTGGGCACTGCAGGGTGCTGAGCAGCAGCCCTGCCCCAACCCACTCCATGCCAGAAGCACTCCTAGCTGTGACAAGCACAAATGTCCCCAGACACTGCCAGTGTCCCCCAGGGGACAGAATCACTTTACACACTAAAGTATTTATGGGTTAAAAAAAAAAAAAAGTGGCCGGGCACGGTGGCTCACGCCTGTAATCCCAGCACTTTGGGAGGCCAAGGCGGGTGAATCATGAGGTCAGGAGATCGAGACCATCCCGGCTAACACGGTGAAACCCCGTCTCTACTAAAAATACAAAAATTAGCCAGGCGTGATGGTAGGCGCCTGTACTGTAGTCTCAGCTACTCGGGAGGCTGAGGCAGGAGAATGGCATGAACCCAGGAGGTGGAGCTTGCAGTGAGCCAAGATCGCGCCACTGCACTCCAGCCTGGGTGACAGAGCAAGACTCTTTCTCCAAAAAAAAAAAAAAAAAAAAGCTTGAGGGTTTTTATGCTCCAAAATAATTCCAGGCAGCTTATGGGCACATTATGAGTTCATTATGTTATTTTCTTTTGGGGTCTATTTGAAAATTCCCATAGTTATGAATAGTTTTGAGTATGTTTTTCTCCCACAGATGTACACATATGCCCAGCAATGTCCTCTCTGAAATTTCAGATACAAACTTCAAAATAATCTGTATTTGCTCCTCACCAAGCACCAAATCCGCAGCTGAAGTTCAAAATCACAGACAGTCTAATTTCTGTTTTATTTAACTTACCATGGGTTTATCAGAGTATCAGATGCATAACCGACTCACAATTTTTCAACTTACAATGGGTTTACCTGGGTACTAAATGCGATTCTGACTTGGGAATTTCCAACTCACCGTGGGTTTCCTAGGACTGACCCACCGAGGCCGGGGAGCATCTGTTTGCCCACGGTGGGGAGGGAGTTCGCACCCCCTGGTGCTGACAGCTTAGGACAGCTTCCAAGCGGCTCTGTCTCTGCACAGGGGTCAAGTGCACGCGCTCACATTTCCCAGCACTGATGGGACGTAAACACACGAGGCCTCCGCAGCCTCCTCGTGCAGAGTGTTGGAAAATCCCAGGATAGGCTCCTCCCTGCCCACACGACACACCAGTCTGCGGCTCACCTCGGGCAGAAGCACGTCCAGAATGAACCGGATCCGGTCACCGTTGGTGCGCCGGAGCACCTTGGCGCCCACCTCCTGGTAGACGCCCTGCAAGTACTTCACCACCAGGTCCAGCTGCCCCTCGTCCTCCAGGTAGGTCTCCACGCAGGTCACGTACTGGCTGGAGCTCAGGAAGGTCTGCAGCCAGCGAGACGGCTTCCTGCTCTTCAGGATGGCCCGCAGGTGGCTCTCCGCGCCCTTGGCCTTCACGATGTACTCCACCAGCTTCTGGTTGGCCCGGTCCCGGGCGGCCCGCGAGCGGTCGGGGAGCACTTTCCGGCAGGGCTGCCTCTGCCCCAGGGGGCGCCCCACCACAGGCTCCTCAGGGCTCCCCTTGCTCAGTTGAGGAAACCTGGTCCCCGGGGCGTCCTGCTGGATGGATTTTCGGACAGGAGAGCCTGCAAAGGAAGCGCCTGTCACGGGACCAGTGCGTGGGCTGCCTTCCTCGGGCGGAATGGGTCAGGGCCGATGAAGGTTGCGACACGGCAGGGGTGAGGGCAGACCCTAGCGCTCGAGCTCCGTGTCAGCATAGGAGTGGAGTGTTCCTGCTCCTAAAGACACTTCCTCTGCTGGGACCCCTGGCCTTTCTCCCCTCACTGGGCCCTGCAACCAGGTTTAACCCTTAGACCAGAGCAAAGTGGCTACCCGTGTAGCACTGCCCAAGAAGAATCAATTCAGCCACGTCCACTCCTCTACCAACTGGGAGGCATGGAAAACCCCACTACTGTCGATAACGGAAAATGCTGGATCGACAATGAAGTGGTGGCCAAACATCCTGGTGTCCGTGACACTTTTTTTTTTTTTTCTTTTTTGAGACGGAGTCTCGCTCTGTGGCCCAGGCTGGAGTGCAGTGGCCGGATCTCAGCTCACTGCAAGCTCTGCCTCCCGGGTTCACGCCGTTCTCCTGCCTCAGCCTCCCGAGTAGCTGGGACCACACGCGCCCGCCACCTCGCCCGGCTAGTTTTTCTGTATTTTTTTTAGTAGAGACGGGGTTTCACCAGGTTAGCCAGGATGGTCTCGATCTCCTGACCTCGTGATCCGCCCGTCTCGGCCTCCCAAAGTGCCGGGATTACAGGCTTGAGCCACCGCACCCGGCCAACGACACGTTCTTTTTTGAGACAAGGTCTTGCTCTGTCACTCAGGCAGGAGTGCAGCAGGGCAGACACACAGGTCACCACCGCCTTGAACTCTCAGGCTGAAGTCATTCTCCCGCCTCTGCCTCCAAAGTAGCTGGGGTTGCAGGCGCGCATGCCACATGCCTAGCTCATTTTTTTCTATTTTTTTTGTGGAGACAGGGTCTTGCTCTGTTGCCCAGGCTAGTCTTGAATTCCTGGCCTCAAGCAATCCTCTTGCTTCAGCCTCCCAAAGTGCTGAGGTTACAGGTGTGAGCCTCCATACCTGGCCTACATTCCTAACAATAGCTGATGTGTGCAGCCACCAGCCACAGCGGGGACAGGGTGGGTGTGGCCCATGGGACGAGGGCCCCAGGGCAGGCTGGGGAAGCTGTGCCAGTGGACACCAGCAGCCGGAGGTCCCAGGGAGCCTCAGGGGTCAAAACCTCATAGGGGTTGCACAATGCTGTGTGGCTATGGACAGTGCCTTGACCCCAACGTCCCCTTCCACAGCTCTAGACATAGAAGATTGCTTTTTCTAAAGGACTAAAAGGCAGACTACACTTTCCAAGATGTGCCTGTAGACTTACTTATATCAGCCGCGTAATATTCCAGGAAAGAGCCAGCAAAAGACCCGCAGCCTGCAGGGGGTGGAGGGGAGAGAGCACTCTGTAGACTTAAGAGGAGTCCCGGGAAGTGTGTGCCAGGAGCCAGCCCAGTATCTCTGTTTAGGAAATAATCAGGCCAGGCCAGAACCCCAGCCCACCCACAGGGAATGTCCCAGGGCCATGAAAATATGCTCTGCCTCCAGGCAGCTCCAGCCCAACCCCTCCAGGGAGTCTTCAGAGGGGGCCGGATGCCTGCCGCCCGGCTCCACCCCTCCCCAGCACCCTGCATACCTAACCGGACCCTGTAGTCAGTGATGAGGGAGATGCACCAACCAATGGCCTGGTCGAAGTCCACCCTGGCTTGGTTCTACAATGAGACCCGGGCGACAGGCGTCAGTGGGAGGCAGTGCCAAGCACCCCGGGTTCAGAAGCCACACAGAGCCCAGGGACCAGCCAGGTGTCCAGGCTCCCCACCCTCCAGCCCACACCTCTGATCCTCCCTGACAAAGGGGCAGACACCTCAGGCAGGGATCCCCTGGGAAACGGGAAATCCACCAGGCACAGGTCTGGGCCCTGAGCTGCTCAAATGGTGGGCACAGGGGACCCGACGGCTTGGGCCAATCTGAACGCATCAATGGTGGAAACACCTCCCATGTGGCCACTGTGCCACATGACAGGACGTGATGTCCTGGAAATAAGCTGCTCTAACAGCCGTTTTTGTTGGGAGCTGTTGACTGCAGCCAGGCTAGGCCACCACCTGGGCTGCGCTAACAGCACCTGGGCTGGCAGCAGGGTGGGTCCTCAGAAAAGGACACAGCAGCCCCAAAGATGCCACAAAGCCACGACCATCACACAACGACCCAGGGAAGGCTCTGGAGCCGAGGGCCACTGGGGGCACCCATCAGAACACCCCAGGGCCGGGTGGACGCCGCTCTCTGCCGGCCCAGCAGCCCCTGCACTTTCCTAAAGCACGGCCTCCCCAACATCATCCCTCGGAGGCCACAGTGACTGCCACTGAATCCAGTGGGCTTCGGGAGCCCCACACACCTGACTCACGGGCAGACGCAAGTGCACTCTCAGGACCCAGGGTGTTTTATATAAACAGCAGCCCTTCTACATTTAAGGCACGGAGCTTCCTGCTGTCCTCCTCACCCCACACCTTCATCCATTTTGAGAAAGGAACTCAGATCCGGCCAGGCACAGTGGCTCACGCCTGTAATCCCAGCACTTTGAGAGGCCGAGGCAGGCGGATCATGAGGTCAGGAGTTCAAGACCAGCCTGGCCAGTATGATGAAACCCCGTCTCTACTAAAAATACAAAAATTAGCGGGGTGTGGTGGTGCATGCCTGTAGTCCCAGCTACTCGTAAGGCTGAGGCAGCAGAATCGCTTGAACCCAGGAGGCAGAGGTTGCAGTGAGCCAAGATCACACCACTGCACTCCAGCCTAGGCGACAGAATGAGACTCTGTCTCAAAAAAAAAAAAGAAAGAAAGAAAAGAAAGTAACTCAGATCCCTGAGAGTGGAAAAGACCCACCACATTTTCTTTTTTTCCAGAGGAGTAAAAATAACTGCACTGAGTTGACGTGTTGGTCCTGAAAGTCGCTACAACAAAATGAGTATTTCTAGAGGGAAAATAGACATTTCTGAGTTAGACAAACCCCTTGCAGTTCATCGACAGCACGTGATGAAAGCTGGCTGCAGATCCAGGGAGCGGGAAGCCGCTCCGCAGCAAGCTGTCTACCACGTGGTATCAGCCAGGCTCACAGGTGGCACTCAAGGGCCCAAAGGGCTCCCGACGCTGACCTAGGGACGCCCCCGGCTGCAAGGCGCTGGCTACCGAGGCCCCCGTGCCGTGGGGTGGACTGAGACAGTCGGCCGGGGAAGGCGGTGGCCTTGCGCAGGGGCTCTCTGCTGCAGCCTTGCCTGGTGGCCCTGGGCAAACTGTCCTCACCAGAGTCCCAGCTTCCTTACCTGTAAAGCGGGGAAATGGGGCCACAACTTCCCAGGACAGTCGTGAGAATTTAGTGCAGTGACTGAGCCCGTGATCTAACTCTAACGGCCAGAGTGCAGCCCGGCTCTGTTACTTCCCACAATCATTCACACGCATGCACCGCAGCCAGGATTTCAAGAGCTACACACAGAGGACACATTTACTAATCACAAAGTAAACCATTTAAAGCAAGCACAAACCATAATCCACCTACCAGAAGTGTCTGTTTCTCTTTACAATCAAAGTGCTTTAAACTTTTAAGAGACACTGTGAAACTTGAAGCAGAGAGAGGGAAAAGTTAACAAGAATGAACTTCCTCTAATAAGCTAAAAACCTTTCCCTGCCTGATTAAGATCAGTGGAGGCCGCTGGAGTCCCCGCCAGCCCCAGCTTATTTACGGAAGGTGACCGTTTCCCCAGCTGCCAAGAAGCCCCCAACGCACCATGGTGGGCCCAGTGACTTCAGCAGCACTGACTGGGCCCTGCCAGGCCAGGCCGACTCTGGGGCCTGGGTCTCCACTCCACACCTCCCACCTCTCGGGAGCAGCACAGAAGCACCAGATGACACCGGTTCTGCACGTCTGACTTGGGGATGTGCAGTGCGAAGGTTTTAAAGGCTGCTTTCGGCCGGCTGATCCATCCACGTGTGTTTTCGTCCCATGACTAAGGAACAATCACGTAACCCAGGGGCAATCTCAGGTGGATGCAGGACGCTGTCTGCACACCTGCGTGGACATTTTGCTAGTTTGTGGGAAACAGGGCCACAGGGAGTGTCTGGTTGGGCTGCCTTTCAAAGCCAGCAAATCAGGTTGTGAAAACTGCAGTGTTTGACCAGATCCTTCACACACAGCCTTTGTGTGACTCACCCTTCCCAGCGAGGGAGAGGTCACGAGAAGGACATGCCTCCAATGAGACCCCGCCAGCCCTGCCCAGGCCTGGACTCGTGCCGGCGTCTCCCCTCTGCCCCTGTCCCCACGCCTGCAATGAGAGCGGCCAGCCTGCCACCCGGGCCCACTCACAGAAACCAAGAACAGCGGGTTACCCTTTCCTTTTCGGGTTCATTTGTCCTTCGATGTAGACCACACTTGCTTTCTTATCTCTCTGCCTGACGCTTTTGACCTGTTCGCAAATCCAAGAAAATAAAACGTCAAAAGAGAGACCATGGCTGACATCACATGATACATCTAACAGGCGTTGCCCCAGCTCTGGGGCGCCCTAGCAGAGTCTCCCGTAAGGAGGCGTTAAGAAACGGCCCCACGCTCTGCCACATGCGTCACTTCAACGCTTTCCCAGCAGAGCAGAATCAGCCAGTTTTGTTTGGGTTTTTGAATAAAAAGAGCCACAGCTACCGCTGCCAGCTGCCTCTTTAAATAAGCGTCCTGAGATTCTCCAGCAGCTCGGGGGGCAGGTCTGTCCTCCTCACGCTCTGGGGGAGTGGAGGAAGTGCAGAAAGGCTCGGGAACAAGCCCGGGCCACATGGGGGAGGGGCAGGGACTGCGCCCGCGCTGCCACCTCCCCCCAGCCTCCCCAGTCCTGGCCTCCCGGGGTCACCGTGAGAAGGCAGCGACGAGCGCCAGCGACCAGCGCCTCCGGTGGCCCTTCCACCCTGCACTCTCAGGGAGGCTGCCTGTTCTTATGCCCCAGGAACCTGTCACATCAGTGACCTGTTAACCCAGCAGGGACCCCAGAAACTGATGAAAACAAGAGAAGACTAGCAAGGTGCGGGAGGGGAAGCCAGTGCCAAGGGAGGGCGGAGGGCCCAGAAGCCCGGCCTCCATCACTGCAGACCAGCAGGCGATAAGAGGAGCCCAACTAGGCCATAAATGTGTTGAACCTCCCCAGCAAACAGCACACAGAGTCAATCCCAGGTTTCCCGGAACCATAATCAGTCACATGCAAGGAGCCTGGGTGACTCGGGTGAGGTCAGTCATTACAGAAACAAAAGCATCTCCGGATTACTGCAAAGCAAGCGCCTTTTGGATTTAAACATCGTCTCTTAGGAGGATAAAGGGAAAAAAGGGATAAAATATGAAGAAGAAGTGAAGGCCAGGACAGCACCTGTGCCCAGGACAACAATCAACTAATGACCTGCAACTTCCAGGCCTGCAGAGATGGAAGCAGAGAATCTGCCCCGGCTTGAACGCATCACCCACACCGGGAACTTGGACAGGATTTCAAACTCCTGTTTGTATGCATGCAACCAACCCCACCACAAAATCCAAATTAATGAGCTCTAATGGGGGAAAACGGGGTAAAATGCACAATTAAAATGAGCAAATCACAAATTTTTTTTTCCCTTTTTCTTCCTTCCTGAGATGGAGTCTTGCTCTGTCGCCCAGGCTGGAGTGCAGTGGCACGATCTTGGCTCACTGCAACCTCCAACTCCCGGGTTCAAGCGATTTTCCTGCCTCAGCCTCCCAAGTAGCTGGGATTACAGGCGCACACCACCACGCCAGGCTAATTTTTTTGTATTTTTAGCAGAGACACGGTTTCACTGTGTTGGCCAGGCTGGTCTCAAACTCCTGACCTCAGGTGATCCACCCACCTCGGCCTCTCAAAGTGCTGGGATGACAGGCGTGAACCACTGCACCCGGCCACAAATATTTTTTTCGAGCAGGTCTTTCTAAGCCTGCTTGGTGAAAATCTGCCCTATAAACTTAACACCATTTCTTAATTTAGGTACAGGCATCTCTTGAAGTCTTTTGTATAAACCCACCAACTTTTCCCAGGAATAACAAAATAATGAAAACATTTATCCAGGTCAAATTATCAAGAACTGAAGATGGGTGGAATAAAAATTCATGAAATTTAAATAACTACATCTTAGAAGACGGAGGAAGCTGTTCTTACCACTGCTGGCCAGAAGGGGTATTTTTTATATTTAAGCCAGACTAGCATTCCTACTTCAAACGAACGTGGTTCTAGAATTAAAGAAAAAAGAAAAACAAAAAAAAGAATAGACAAGTCAAATCCATATCAAGCACGGGATGTAACAGCCTGAGAAAACACAGTTAGCGCAATATTGTTGAAACCTGACTTTATGTCATTCGCTTAAAAGATGAGGAGAATGTGAAAGGCAGATTCACATTCCCCACACTACTGGAGTCTAACCAGCGTCAATGACACAGTAAAACCACAGCAGCTGAGTGTGGGGCTGCACCAGGTTCTCAGCTGTGACACACGCACCCTCGGGACGGGAGCAGCGCATGATGGACGGCAGGGGCTCTGTCCTACGTGTGCACGACTTCCATAAGTCTAAAATAACTCCACAGGGAGGCACTTTTAAAGAGAGTGTGGCACAAAACAGAAGTGAGATAATGGTACGCGAAGAAGACCCAAACACAAGGACTGAGATTCTAAAGAGGATTCTGAGAAACTACAGTCAAAAATGGGAAAATTATTTAAATCATAACCAGAAAACTATGTAAGAATGAATTATTTTCAATGCCAAAAAAGGGCGAATTATTTAAAATTTTAAAACTAAAATATCAGAAAAACTACTGGAAACAGTCTGTCGTTAGACACACAGCCTGTGTCTGACCGCACTGTGGAAGGTGGAAGGAAGTGCCGTGGTACACGAACACAGACCAAAACCCAAAGGCCTGTAAAGTAGCCGTTACATGACCAGAGGAGAAGGGAGGCTCACAGGGGTGAGTGCCTGCCGTGAACGTGCACAGCTCGTTTCCCCGGTGAGGGGCATTTCATCTTTAAGAGAAACTTCCAGGCCCACGTGGACAAGCAACCAATTCAAAGGCCGGTCAGGGAACCCTCAGAAAGATGCCCAGCCTGACAGGTAGGAAACAAAACCAAACGGGAGCAACACCCAATTCCCACTGCAGGCAGAAGGCAGGCAGCACCAGGCTCGACGACGTCCCGGTGAGCCGACCCCAGTGGGGCAGCGTGGTCGGAAGGGGCCCTTCCCAAGGGCACTGTGTTCTTTCTGTGTGCGAACTGATCCTGCAGAAATGATTTCCTGGAAGTCCCGATGGGTGCCCCACGGCACCTGCGGTCCTGGGACCACCCAGACGGGCACCCAATGGATGGGCAGGGTTTGGTGAGTGGTGACTGCTCACTCCAGAGGAAAAGGGTCAGAAGAGCATGTGGAAAACTGTTAAAAAGTCTGACCATTAGCATTAGACAAAAAAAGGGAAAATGTGAAACTGCAATGAAGCCCTTTCAATGAGGGAAAAGCACTCAAACAGTGCGGACAAACAACATAACAAGGCCACAGGCACACCAGTGTGCACAGAATGGCGCTCCCAGGGCTGCACAGGCACCAGCTTCCTGGCCAGGGGGCATCCTGCATCTTACGGATGCTGCCAGTGGGGAAGCCCGGGTAAGAAGCCCCCTCACCTCCCTGTACTATTTTTGCAACATCCTGTGAATCTGTAATTATTTTGAAACTGTAAGGTTAAAGAAAAGAAAAACAAGACTCGGCTCAGAGGAACGTTCATGGCGAGTCTGAAGGGGGGCTGGTTCTCATGACTCGGTTCGCAAGGCTGACTTTCTGTCCACGGCTGGCTCAGACCTTCGGGTCTCTCGCTTCTAGTCCCTTCCACGCAGATGCTCAGCAGCACCTAAGGCAGGTTTTCCTCTCGTGCAGCAGCTACTTACAGGAGGGGTGCGGGAGCAGTTCCCCCTTGGGCTGAAGACCCTGCCTCCCAGGACGGCCCCCAAAACGCCATCATGGAAGCCGCCAGACAGTACGTGGCCACACCCAAGCGATGGCAACACAGCCCCTCAGCTCACTGGGCCGTCCCTCATTCTCAGCGAGGGGACAGGAGGACAAGGGCTTGAGGTGACAGGAGTAATGCTCTAACAGGGAGGGCTGGGCCATCTCTTCCCAGGAGTCCCTCTTCCCTTTGTGTAGGTTAGTCTTCAGATAGAGGACTGAAAATGTGGCACTTCTGAAGGTCCCTTCCAGGTCTCGGTTCAGTGGGAGAGAAATGAACTCGCAGGGGACCTTTCGTGGAGGATGTGGGGTCCGATCTCAGAGCCCCGCCGCCACTGCCTTTGAGTGCACCGTTAGGACTGTAGGCGCACCCCGTGGTCATTTCTTACCATGGTATAAAAGGACTCTTGGTGGCTCCTCGTCTTCCTCGTCTTCCTCCAGGACAGAACGCACGGAATTAGGCCCCATGGATGCTTCGGAAGACTGGCAGTCTGCAACAACGTGATATTAGACTTTCATTGTCATTGTATTATCTTGATGACTCATCCCAAGAAAACACTTCATGACACATGACCACTGATGCATAAAGAAAAGGTTCTGTGCTACACACAACTCCACACTGCCAGATTCAAATACAGTGTGCTTCTATTAAACTACATTTTAAAGAAAAACGCAAGAGGGAGGGAGGGAGGGAGAGAGGCCTGCGGTGAAGGGAAGGCGGGCCTTAAGCAGCAGCCTCCTCGGCCACAGAAGCTGTGAGCACTCTGGGTGGGAATCCCTTTTGTCCCGGCCCCGCTGCCCCTTCACATCTGAAGCGCTCAGTGGATACGCAGGGAGGGGGCCAGGACAGGAGCTGACTATGGAACAGGGCAGGGGTGCGGAGATGCAGGAAGGGGCCAGGACAGGAGCTGACTATGGAGCAGGGCAGGGGTGCGGTCACTTTGTCTTCAGAGCGTGGCAACCTCAACATCTAAGGAGATGACGGCCTCAGGAAAGAAGTTCAGAGTAAAGACTGAAATATCTCCGCAGTAAGTTTGTAGCGAGTAGATTTCCAGACATTTGATCATGCCCTAATTAAGATTTCTGAAATAGCATTTCAAAAATAAGAGATGCTACAATGTTAAAGGGAAAAAAGTCACAGGGCTTGCCTGCAACCACACAAAAATATATCTGCACAAGAATTCTTAAAAAGTCAGGAGTCTTGAGTGAGTGAATCACTTTTGAGATTCCTGCCCAATTTAATGGGAACACATTATTGCTTCTGTAAAAGAGTTAATCCTCAGGGGTGCAGCCGGAGCTGCAGCCTCAGCACAGCCACAATGCTCCCAGCCCTGTCGCAGACAATCGTGGCCTGCCGCCCCTCCATGGGCTCCCCACTCACTCAACTCGCTTTCCTTCTAAACAAAAATAAGAAGACAAATATTTAGAAGTTGAAGCAATTATAGCCCAGTGGGGAGACAAAAAGGAATGAGGAACTCTCTGCTCTAAGTCTATTTTGGAAACGATCTCATTAAGATCTGGTCAAAAACACCCACGAGCCTGGCTCCGTCTAGCTACGGAGGGGCAGGACTCCACCCTCCACACTCTCCGCCTCCACGAGAAACTTTTACCTTCCTCCAGCTTCTGGGAATCCGGGCAAGGAGGACGTCTGGTTTCATCCACAGAGGCGTGGGAGGGAGGCGGGCCGAGCCTGGTGGTGCTGCGCAGGGTCATAGACTCTCTGGGCCCCGGGCCGGGGGCTGGTGCGTCTCCTGCTGCCCTGGGCTCCAGCTGTGCGGCAGGCGGCCTCTGGCTGCCATCCAGGCGCAGCCTCTTCTTCGCAGGGCGTTCTCTGGGCTCTGAGCAGGCTGAGGGCTCAGGGGCTGGGAGCACAGTGAGGCTGCCCAACGGCAGACCGGGGTCGCGTCCCTCAGCGTTGGCACAGGGATCGTCCTCCCTGACCCCGGAAGGCGAGGACGGGGCTGCCCAGCTGCCTCCCTTGCTCCCCATGTCTCTCTCCACGTCGCCCTCTGAAAGGGAAGATCCATTCCGGCACAAACTAGACTTCTGCACTGAGTTTCTTCCCCTCTTACTTGCAAGAGTCCAATTTTTGCGGTGGATTCTGGACCCGCTCTCATCCTGAGCACCACCTCCAGCTGAGAGGACCGACAGGCCTCTTGGGTTTTCACTTTTCCTGAGCCCCTTCTTGTGGTCCGCTTTACACTCGGGGTCTTTTTCACAAGTGAACGAACTTGACAGGCTTTGTTGCACGCATTGCCTCCTCCTGTGAGGTCCGGAACTGCCCAACACATCTCCACGGGGAATAGATGAGAAGTTGGAATCACAGGGCGAGGAAACGTGTTCAGTGGGCTTCTCTCGCAGAGACTGGTCGGCTCTGCCTGTCCCTGGGGAGCTTTCTTGACTCCAAATGGGCCCCTCGCTCAGAACATCCAGAGCCACGCGAAGTGACCGTCTGTAGGCCAGTTCTTCCAGGGGTGCCGCAGGAACCTCACTCTGCGAGGCTGCAAGGACCGAACATACACAATACTGGTTACGTTCACTGGGCAGGCACTGCGGTCACGCCATCACTTTAAAAGCCCGCTTGTCTCATTCTGACGGCTAGTTTCATACCTAAATCACTGAAGGGGAGGACTAACATTTCTCACCTACATTTTCCCAGAAAGGGGATGAGGCTACAGAACAACAGCTATTCATTCCAGGATTCGAGGCTTCATTTTTTTAAAAACCAAATTTACTGACCTTAACCTGACTGGCTAAAAAGATAAATTCCTCCAAGTTACAAAACAATACTGTGAGCAAAATGTATTCAAATGTTTTGCAAATCCTCTCTCAGCCTTACAATTTCAAATTCAATCAGGGTCAATAAAAACCAATGCCAACTAAATAACTCTGCTGGCAACATATTCTTGGTTGGTGCGAGGGTTGGTGGTAGCAAGGAACAGGAGATTTAAAAGGCTCATTGTGGGCTGGTAAATTTTCAATACTTCTTTGCAAGGGCATTTCAAAGCCAGCAAAGAGCATCGTGGGCCTCTGGTTTCCAACCCAACCTCCCTGCTGCAGTACTTTTATTTATTCATTCCGACATACAGATACAGCGCTATTTATTTGAACAAGATGATAGATGTAATATCACAACTCAGCGGGCGTAATGCCTCAATCAAAACAGTATTTTCCCCGTTGAATATTAAAGGCACCCATAGACAACCAGCCCCCCAACACAATCTGCGCCAACAAGGACGACGCCATCCGAGATGACGGTCAGCCCTGCCTAAGTGATGCAGAGATGGAGCCTGGTTTAAACAAGAGCTGTTTTTCGGAAAACACAGGAAAACAGAGTTGATTTCATAAACATCATTGAAGGAATTCCGGTCCATCTTTTCACAAGAGAAACAATTATTTGCAAATGGGATAAACAGTCCCACTTTGAGAAGAGGAGAAGGCAGGCTGGCACGTTGGGTTTGTGGAACTGTGGCTGGGGGGCAGGCAGTCACCAATGCTCCTCACTTGCGTGTGTGTATGAGTCCCTGGCTGGGCTCAGGCAAACCCTTTCTCACCCACAGCGTGCAAAGGAGGTGGGTGCTGACCTGGGAGAAAGCACACCCGGATGGACAGGAAGCCGAGAGCTCCACTTCCGACCTGCCTCGTGCCCACCAAGACAGTGCCTCAAACAATGGGTGCCACCAACCTCAGTGCCAGGCCACCGGTTCTCTCCCCTGGGCTCCGCTCTGGAATTTTAAACACACAACCCACTGCTTCTCAAACCTTGGGCTGAGACCAGACTGGCCAGGCAGCAACAGAACCACGGGAAGTCTTACTATAGGAAGAGGAAAGGAAAAAGGAGAACATCCCCCCTCAAGGCAGCAAAGTCCTTCCTCGTCTTGTGTGCTGGAGGCCACGGAGGTAATGAGATGACCTTGATGCTCACCACTGACCATTCTGGGCGTCAAGAATAGGAGTGATTCTAGGGGCAAATTCTGGAAAGGTTTAAGAAAGCAGATCCATTTTTCCTTCTCCTTCAGCTCAGGGGATTCGCGTTCCCTTGTATGAAGAAAAACATGGTGAACAGGGTGAATTTTTACCCAGAAACCTGAGCCTTCACATTCTCCCAAACGACCTCTTATTTTATGAAAACCTAATGGCCGCTTAGAAATCCGCTCTTACCTAACGAGGAGGCAATGGCTTCAATTTGAGACTTCTCTAGGATCTCAACTTCGGTGCTTTTCACCTTAATCCTGCAGAGACAGAACTGGCGTTATACACCACCAGCCAACGCCGCCAAGATATTTTCAAACATGTTTTCCTTTAGATAACAAAAGAATTAATTTCATTTTCCTCCTCAACCTTCTACTTAAACCAAAAGTCACAGCCAACTAGGAATTCATCTGCCTGAGGTTAGAGGCAGCAAGAACCCTGGTGAATGTTTTGGTGTTTTTTTTTTTTTTTTTTTGATCCCCCTTTTAAGACAGAAAAGGTTGGCTGGATTTAAAAGAAAAAATGAATTCAAATTGTGACTTTTATGAGGCAAATCCTACTTTCAACTGCACAAATAACTCCTTTGTTAGATTTTCAGAGTAGATGGTAATGTCACTAAAAGCTGTTTACAGCCCAGCAGGTGCGTTTTAGTTTAAAAGGATGTGCTTTCCTTTTAAACTCGAGTATTCAATTACCTTCCCAGCCGCAGGGAAGTGTGAGCTGGGGACCAAGCGTGCGTCCTGAAGACGTAGGCAGGAAAGAGCGGGGCAGGGGGAGCTCCACAAGACCAACAGCGGAGCCAGTGGCTCGGACTACGCAGGGTCAGTCTCCTTGCTCTCTTCAGAACGCGGAATTTTCACGGCAGACGTGCCCTCGCCACAATCACACAGGACTGGGGCGTCGGAATCCCCGTTATTTTAGACAATCTACACCTTCCCAGTGCCTGACACTCACGGAGCAGAACAATGTGCCGCCTGGTAATCAGTTATTTGCCTTTTGAATGTTAAAGACTAATTTAGAGTGACAGGCTCAAAAACCAAATATTTCCAAATTGATGGGCCTGTCACAGAGGTTTCTGAAAAAAGACACACAGATCTCTGGGAAGGAAACATCCCTATTTTTCTGGCATGGTAGTCAAAAAAAAAAAAAAAGGAAATATCCCTATTTTAACCACAAATAGGGTCTACCCTGAGTATAATTTACACGTATTCAATGTTTGTACCAATCTCTCCGTAGATCTCACAGAATGCCTCGTTTAGATCTTCAGCTTCCAAACTGACATTAAATCAAACTAGTTGCTTTCTCGTGAGGTTTTTATGAGCATTAATGAATTACATAAATGATGAATAAGCCCATTAAGAATGGGCTTCAACTGTTTTAGGGTGGTAACGGATTGACGTATCAGAAATCTACACAGGAAAACAGTATTAAAAAAACACGACACTTAACTTTTCCTCTAGGGAGAGGATTTGAACATCTAGAAAATACTCCTTTTTTCTCTTATTTTTTGTTGAAGTCTCAGTTCGGGCCAAAACCTATTTTAAAAAAAAAAAATCCTTGTTATTAAAACAGTTGACATAGTGAGAAACAGTGGCAACATTTAGTACAAATTTAACAGGTAATCCTGAAGGCCTATAACCACGGGATTTCAGATATTTCGTCCAATCCCCATTGTTTCACAGATGGGGAAACTGAGGCATGAGAAGCCAGTGGCAGACAAAGACAACGACCCGGGCTTTTGCACTGCAGCTGAGCATTGTCTACTGAATTGCTGGAAAGCATCCCTGGGCACGACGATAATTTACTATCACAGGGCTGCTTGCCAGATCTTTCCTTGAGTTACAGCCTTACATGCCTTTTTATAGCTGATTCTTTTTTTTTTTTTTAAGTGTGAAAAAAAAAGACATTTCTGGAAGAGTAACCTTGGAAGCACTAGACCAAAACCCCATTAAATGGGGAACGAGAATCAGTGCCAACCGTTCTGGCTCAATTATTTCACTGAAGCAAATCCTAGGTATCTCCTGATAAAGATTTTACTTGTCACCCGAAAGTCATTTCTAATTCCTGAAATTACAGAATAATGGCTGTCACCTTTGCAGGCCATAACCGCTTTTCCCATCGGCAGAGGACATACTTGGCATCCGCCATCATTTACACTCATGTAGCAAGTGGCAATGATTTGGCACAAAGTACTCCCAGGTCTGACGCCGATGTGCCCTGCAACAAAATTTGCACGGTGGTTTATACAACTGTTTGCTTGCGATGTTAACGCAGACACAGCCCTCGGGGGCAAAGGTTAGCTCGGCTTAGCCTCAAGTAGATGGTTCAATTCCACAATCTTGCATTGAGATGCTCAATGCCAAAAAGCAGACTGACAAACAGAAACGACGGGGCTCGGTACCCAGGGAGGCGCCTGCATTTTTTTCACAAATAAAATACAGCACAGTCCCTCCCAAAGGTTCTGTCTAGATTATTTTTAAAAGGCTCCTGAATCAATCGTCTCCGTGCAGAAGGCCTGCCTCCGACCTCGGCAGGAAAGGCATTTTACACAATCAAAGCTCACAACCCTCCCCAATTTGGGGAGTTAAGAGTTGACCACAGCACAAAAAAAATTAAGAGCGGAAAAACGACTGCTCTTTTGGCTGCCATGTCCCTGAAAGGACAGGGACAGCTGCAGACCGTTCACAGCATCAATGGGAAGGGCTGGCTCGGTTGTTGACAGAAATGAAAAGGAGGCTTGGGGTGGGGGTGGAATTCAGCAGCAACGGAGGGGGGCGTCCCCGCAGCAGGGAAGAGGGGGTTCCCTGCAGAGGTGGGGGTGGCATTTCCAGCAACAGAGGAGGGGATCACAGCAGCAGCAGAAGTTGGGGTCCAGGCAGCAGGGACAGGGATTCCACGGCGGAGGGAGGGTTGTTGCTTTCAGGAACGGGGGATTCGGACAACAGAAGAGGGGGTCACAGCAGAAGCGGGAGGGCTCAGGGAGCAAGGATGAGGGCTCACGGAGGAGGTGGAGCGGAGGGTCCAGGTGGCAAGGATGGGGAATTTCAAGGTTGGGGGGGAATCCAGGAAGGAGATAGGGGTCCAAGCAAGAGATGGGGTTCACGGCAGACGTGATGGGGATCCAAGTAAGGAGATGGGGATCCAGGCAGCAAGGATGGGGGAGGGTGTCCACGCAGGTGACGGGGTCCAGGCAGGAGTGGAGGGGCCCACGGAGGCAGGGACAGGAAAGGGGGTCCAGGCAAAGTGAGGGGCCCACGGAGGCAGGGACGGGAAAGGGGCTCCGGGCAGAGTGGTGGGTCCGTGGCGCCAGGGTCGGGAAAGAAGGTCCGGGCAGAGTGGGGGGCCCATGGCGGCGGGGACCGAGCGTCCCAGAGGAGTCTCTAGGCCGGGGCCGCCCCTCCCCCCAGGCCCGGCCTCCTCGCCTCAGCCCCCGCCCGACGGAAGCGAGGAACGCATCCCGCGGGCTCACCGGGCCCCCGGCGTTCCCCAGCGCGGAGCCCCGAGCCCGGGCAAGGAGGCCGCAGCGGCCCCAACGGCGGAGGACCCGCCCGCCAACCGCCGCCGTCCGCGCCGCCCGCGCTCACCGCCTCCGCCGCCGCCGCCGCTCCCCGCGGGGCCGGGGGCGGGGTTTGCCTCGCGGCGGCGCCAAGCTCCGCCCTCTTCTCCCCGCCGCCCAATGGGACGCGCGCACTCCCAAGCAGCGCAGGCCCCGCCCTCTCCTGCGTCACGGCCGCGCGCTGGCCCCGCCCCTTCCGCCGCGCGTCGCCTCCGTTTTCCCTCGAGTCGTGCCTGAGGAAAGCGGTTGGGGGGGCACGTGTGACCGCTGCCGGGCGCCGCCCTCCCGCGCTCCCGGCCCTTTGTCCTCCAGTCAGACTCCGGACGCCGCCCTCGCGGGTCTCGGTGGGAAAAGAGGCTACCCCGCCCGTGACGACCCCTGAGAGAACCTTCCAGAACTTTCGAGAATCTTCCAGGTCCTGAGGCACCTCCCAGCCTGGGAGCTGCGCGTTACGGACCCGATTCCTACCGATGTCCACCGATGCCAAAGCCGAGGCGGCCCGGCGTCCCCACAAAGGCGTCATACGCTTCTGAACTAGAGGAGGCCCAGCCTCGGGAGGGTCCCAAGACCCCGGGGGGGCGCCAGAAACAGCCGCGGGTGGCGGGAGCACCGGAGCAGTCGCTGCGTCAGTGTCAGGCGTCTCCCTGAGCTGTTTTTGTTTGTTTTTTTGTTTTTTTATTTTTTTTGAGGAGTCTCGCTCTGTCACCCAGGCTGGACTGCAGTGGCGCGATCTCAGCTCACTGCAGCCTCCTCCTGCTGGGATTACAGGTGTGCGCCACCCCGCCCGGCTAATTTTTGTATTTTTAGTAGAGAATACTAAATGTTGATTAGGCTGGTCTGGAGCTCCTGCTCTCAGGTGATCCGCCTGCCTCGGCCTCCCAAAGTGTTGGGGTTACAGGCCTGAGCCACCTCACCGGCTCCCACAGGTGTTTAAAAGCACAAGGAGGCCAAGTTGGCGGATCCCTTAAGCCCAAAGATTCGAGACCAGCCTGGGCAACATAGCGAGACCCCATCTCTATAAAAAAGGTACAGGCTCACACCTGTAATCCCAGCAGGAGGCCGAGGCGGGCAGATCACATGAGGTCAGGAGATTGAGACCAGCCTCGCCAACATGGTGAAACCCTCCTCTCTGCAACAAATAACACAGATGAGCGGGCGTGGTGGCGCGCCCCTGTAATCCCAGCTACTCAGGAGGCTGAGGCAGGAGAATGGCTTGAACCCGGGAGGCCGAGGTTGTGGTGACCCGAGATCGCACCGTTGCACTCCAGCCTGGGTAACAGAGTGGGACTTTGTCTCAAAAAAGGAAAAAAAAAAAAGACTGGTAGCCGCATTCGCCACGCACTGGCCCCGACTTTTCAAGGGGAAGGGGCAACAGCAAAGCCGGCTCAAATTTCTTTTTCCTTCGCATGCTTGTAGGAATAGAAGGTTCATGTCTTCCGTCAATCCTAGCAACCTCAGCAACTGATTTTTTTTCCTTTATTAAGTTGAGAATTTTCACCTTTAACTTGTTTTTTATTTACATTTTTGAGTCAAAGTCTGGCTCTGTGGCCCAGGCTGGAGTGCAGTGGCGCAATCATAGCTCACTGCAGCCTCAACCTCCCAGGCTCAAATGATCTTTCCACCTTAGCCTCCAGAGTAGCTGGGACCACAGGTGCGTACCACCATGCCTGGCTAAAATTTTTATTTTTTGTAGAGACAGGGTCTTGCTATGCTGGCCAGGCAGGTCTCGACCCTTTGGGCTCAAGTGATCCTCCCACCTTGGCCCCCCAAAGTGCTGGAATCACAGGCAGGATCCACCTTGCCCAGCCGAGTCTCAGTTTGTCTATAACATGGGGGTGGTGGTCTGTGGGTGGTTGGCAAAAACCATGTCTCTGATACCATCCTCTTACCTTAAATCTGAGCTTGTGTTTTCTGACGCCTGTAATCCCAGCACTTTGGGAGGTCGAGGCAGACATACCGCCTGAGGTCAGGTGTTCGAGACCAGCCTGGCCAATATGGAGAAACCCCATCTCTACTAAAAATACAAAACTTAGCTGGGCTTGGTGGTGTGCACCTGTAATCCCAGCTATTTGGGAGGCTGAGGCAGGAAGATCACTTGAACCCTGGAGGTGGAGGTGGCAGTGAGCCGAGATCGCGCCAGTGCACTCCAGTGCGGGTGACAGAGCAAGACTGACTCTGGCTCAAAAAGAAGAAGAAAAAAATTCTGAACTGGCCTGTGAGCTGCTTCAGCCCGGGGATACAGCAGAAGGGATGATGTGCCAGATCCAAGCCTCTGCCTCAGGAGGAGTGGGGCCCAGTGTGGTGGCTCCCACCTGTCACCCCAGTGCTTTGGGAGGCTGAGGCGGGAGGATCACATGAGCCCAGGAGTTCGAGACCAGCCGGGGCAACATGGTGAGACCCCGCCTGTACAAAAACAAAAAAGAATTAGCCGGGCATGGTGATGCACACCTGCAGTCCCAGCTACCCAGGAGGCTGAGGCAGGAGGATTGCTTGAGTCTGGGAGATCGAGGCCGCAGTGAGCCGTGATTGCACCACTGCACTCCAGTCCAGGCGAGAAAGCAAGACCCTATCTCAAAAACAAAACACTGAGCGTGGCAACAGCTCACGCCTGGAATCCAAGCACTCTGGGAGGCCAAGGTGGGAGGATCGCTTGAGCCCAGGAGTTCAAAGCTGCTATGAGCTCAAATGAGCTGTTTTGTTTGTTTTAGAGACAGCCTTTCTCAGTAGCCCAGGCTGGAGTGCAGTGGCGCAATCTCTGCTCACTGCAACCTCTACCTCCCAGGTTAAGTAATTCTCTTGCCTCAGCCTCCTGAGTAGCTGGGATTGTAGGCACACACCACCACTCCCACCTGGGTGGTCTCGAACTCCTGACCTTGTGATCCACCCACCTCGACCTCCCAAAGTGCTGGGACTACAGGCGTGAGCCACCGTGCCCAGCCTCTGGCTCTGGTATTAAATAAATTAATGCTTTTAAACTACTTGTGCCAGCGGTGAAATGTTAGGTCTTATTTTATTGAATGTCTTCGCCATTCGTCTGTGAGTTCCCTGAGTCCTATTTTCTTCACCATTGTATGCCCAGTCCCTGTCACCGAGCACTCACTCAAATTTTGTTTAAAGAATGAATTTCTATCCTAAACCATAGAGATTCGCAGTTGCAATAAAGGGTCTGCTTCTAAGGCAGCACAAAGGCCTGGCAGGTCGCTGCAAGAACGTCCTTTCATAGGCTCCTTCCGGCTGGCACCTCAGTTACGGCTTTAATTAAAACGTTTCCCCTTCTGCTGGAAATGTATCATACACAATTCCCTCCCGTTACTCAAGACGTTGTAAAAAAAACGGTGGCTATCGTATTTGTGTTAACCAGACCGCTATTGTGGGACATCTCAGCGATTCTTGATTTTTCCATGATTTAAATAAGGCCACAGAAAGCAACTCGCGTATGTAAAATCTTGGTGCACATCTGATTATATCCTTATGATAAATCCCTGGAGGCAGAAATTGCTGGGTCTGAGGGTCTGGACATCCTCAAGGCATTTGACACATAACATCAAGTTGCTTTTCAGAAAGGTACCAATTCACGTCAGCAGCCGCCCCGCTCACCACGGCCCATCTAACACCCTGCACAAGGGCCGGGCGCGATGATTTCTCTCATCTTTGTTAATTTGATGATGGGTGAAAAATGTATTAAGTTTGTTACTGAACCATGAACTAAATCAAAGATTAAAACACACAGACACACACCTAGTGTGCCAGCCTGAACCAGAACTGAATCTGTATTTTCTAAAGTGATTGAACTGTAACATCAAAATAGCCTCTGAACTGAAACTCAACCAGTGTTCCAACCCATTCAAGTCCCTAATTAGGCCATAAGGGGACCACACTGGAAACCTTGACCAGACCTTGACCTTGTTAACACGGAGCTACGACCGCCAGCTTCGACGGAGCCCCATCGCCAAGGAGCTTTACAGATGTCCAATTACCAGCCCCCTTCACACAAGCGAGGTTTACACAGGAAATTCAGAACACAAGAGAGAGGGCTGTGACTGGTGTTTCTGGAGATCCAGGGGCTCCATGGAAGTCAGGAATATCTTGGGGAGACCAGGATGGCTTGAGCCCAGAAGGTCAAGGCTGCAGTGAGCCGACATCACTCCACTGCACTCAGGCATGGGCAACCAGGAACAGCGGGAGACCCTGTTTCTACCAAAAAAAAACAAGGCCGGCCAGGTGCAGTGGTTCACGCCTGTAATCCCAGCACTTTGGGAGGCCGAGGCGGGCGGATCACAAGGTCAGGAGTTCAAGACCAGCCTGGCCAACGTGGTGAAACCTATCTCTGCTAAAAATACAAAAATTAGCTGGGCGTGGTGGCAGATGCCTGTAATCCTAGGAACTTGGGAGGCTGAGGCAGGAGAATTGCTTGAATCCAGGAGGTGGAGATTGCAGTGAACTGAGATGGTGCCACTGCACTCCAGCCTGGGAAACGGAGCGAGACTGTGTCTCAAAATACATACATACATACATACATACATAACATACCTATATACATATATAAAAATAAAAACAAAACAACAGACTCCTTTACAGTTTCTCGGAATTTGGAAGAGACTAAAACGAAAACAGACTCCTTGTCCAAATGGCAAGCAGACGCTTTCCACAGCATGAGACCTGTGTGAAGGCCCAGGTCACGCAGCCCCGAAGCCCGCCATGTCTCAGGCGCCGACACAGGTACCCTCTTTCTGGGCCATAGGACAAATGGGTTACCGCAGTCCTCCCTTATGCGAGGGTTCGCTTTATACGGTTCCAGTTAGCTGTAGTCAGGAATTTTTTTTTTTTTTTGAGACGGAGTCTCACTCTTGCCCAGGCTGGAGTGCATTGGCGTGATCTCGGCTCACTGCAAGCTCTGCCTCCCAGGTTCCAGCGATTCTCCTGCCTCAGCCTCCCAAGTAGCTGGGACTACAGGTGCATGCCACCACGCCAAGCTAATTTTTTGTATTTTTAGTAGAGACAGGGTTACACCGTGTTAGCCAGGATGGTCTCAATCTCCTGACCTCGTGAT